CCAGGAACTATACAAAATATTTTCAATAACTTTGTCACTTCATGAATTTAATTTAAAAATCCTCTCTGCTCTGGTACGGACCAGTGTAAAACCATGAATCCTCTCTGCTCTGGTCTGGACCAGTGTAAAACCATGAATCCTCTCTGCTCTGGTCTGGACCAGTGTAAAACCATGAATCCTCTCTGCTCTGGTCTGGACCAGTGTAAAACCATGAATCCTCTCTGCTCTGGTCTGGACCAGTGTAAAACCATGAATCCTCTCTGCTCTGGTCTGGACCAGTGTAAAACCATGAACACGGTACTGCAGCAACATCTCAGGTAGAAAAAGAGCAAGAAAAATTAAAATTGTTTAATGAAACAGCCGTTTCAGAGCTGCTTAGGACTTGCAGCCGTTTTCCAGCGCATTCAAAAGTAAAACCGGACTTGTTTTACTACACTTGCAGACTTGTTTATTTCAAATAAGTTCATGCACTGTATATTGTGCCTTTCTGGTAACTGGTCCTTTGTTGTTGTTAATGATGTCTTATGGTCATTAGAACTGGGCATAGAGAGTGTATGCAAGACACAATAGGAAACAAATTATTCTATTCTATTGAAACTGAAGTGAGACAGGCCAAGTAAACTATCTGCACATTCTTATTTTTTAGGTTGTCAAGATGGAGGTTGGAAAGTACTACGCCAGTACTACCTCGGCCTGACTGCAGATCCCTCAGGATCATTTGAGTTTACTTTCTAAAGCTGTGTTCAGACCGCCAATGCTGGAACCCTGAAGTCTCGCTCACCCATTCTCTAGTTTTCAGACGCACGGGACTTCACACCAGAAAGTCCTGGCCAGTGCCGGAAGTGGCGGAAGTAGCAGGCGGACTTTGATGCTAAAGGAGGTAAGCTAGTGGGTTTTCGTGTTAAGTTCATCTCCAATAAGGCAGCTCTGCAGCGTCTCTGTGTCCAGAGACCTTCCATAGACTTTATATAACAGCAGTATGTGTTCACAGAGGTGCACAATAAGTTTATTTTATTATTAAACAGTACTTCCGCATCGGCGAACACACTCGAAGCAGTTGCATAAAATCACGGGAGTATGAAAACTCACAGGTTAACGAGCACTATGTCCCCCATTGTCAACCCTGGTTTAGTCCTGGTGTGGGTCCTGTTTTGGCTGTTTACAGTATTTTCAGTCTGCTCGCTCAGGCCGCTAATGTCCCCGTGACCACTTTGATTGGTCGCTGCACGACCGTCCGAGGAAACGTTCAAAATGTATCTCCTGCGCACGTCGACTTTCTGCTCCTGCTCCTCCCCTTCAACTTTGCCGCACAGTCTGTGCGTCTCTACTCAGCAGTCCTTGTGTGCATTCCGAGACGCATTTGAAAGCAGACGCAACGCATGGTCCGGTCTGAACGCGGCAATACACAAGTCTGGTGCAGCATTATTTGATTGGCCAAAAAAGACAAAGCCATAACCTCTCAGAGAGGGATTTTTGTTGGCCCATAACACTTACTGGCCATAGTCCATTTCAAATTGAGGAACACATGTTTCACTCCATTGAAAAGAAATATAATCAACTTAGGAAAGTGTTGCATTAACTCATACCATGAACTAATTTCGAATAAATGTATTACCCTGAATAAATGTATCAATATATTAAAATTGTTCAGTATTTTGACATTGCCATATTTTGTTCCATAAAAAGGACTGCCTTCAGTTTATATGGTTGCTTATATTATTGTTAACAAAAAGGATTTATTGACAAATGATATATTTTTTGAGTTCTGTTGATATTTGAAATAAACAAGAAGAAAGTACAATTTAGAATCTTGTTCTCTTTCATTTAAATGTTACATTTTAGCCTGGCTGTGGATAAACGTAGGTAAATGGTGTCCATGTTACGTCCAAAACGTTATAGGCAATGAGCTTTGTTTCAAGATTTGGATATTAAAACAACTACTTGTTGCCTTCTGTGATTTTCAGACCCTAACTGGGTATTGGGCCATGGCTTGATTTATATGTTCAATGCTTGTATGTGTTTGTTTGCAATTCAAACTGATTGATATTCAATGTAATCTGGTACCGTTTCCAACGAAACATGAATAAAAGCACTGGACTGAACAATGACATAATACATTTGATACAGACATAACACTTTGCTGTTAACTGATATTAACAATCATTTTGACAATATTCTATGAAGAAGGTAATAGACCTTTTTCACGATAACCGGAAGTGCCGCCTCGCAGCGCTGAGTCACTTCCGGTTTGCAGTCTATGATAGAGAAATGGCTCTAATATTTTCACCAACACTACTCTGTTTGCCAGCTTTTTCATTCGCTGCTGCGGAAGCAATTGCAGCAGCGAATTCAAAAACAGATAAACGGGATAAGGGGTATAAATTCTTTCATGAAGAATATTTACACGACTATCAAGGTAAGACTTATCAACTTACAGCTACGCTAGCTACGACACTTGAAGACATTACATAAATATGTAATACAGACGCCTAATTTGTGTGCTAATTTATTCGAAATTTGAATGGAGACATGGTATAGAATTTCCAATTATATTAGAACATTATGATATGTGTTTTTCATGTCTTATTTATGAAAGCAAACATGCTAAATGTTAGTTTTTACATGATGATGCTAGATGTACCTTAACCATTAAATTGTGCTTTGTTTCTGCATACTTATAGTATCAAATATTGTCGAGGGAAAGGTAGTGGTCAGAGCTAAATGCTTCAGGTCCATGAGGAGAAATGAGGAGCCGCACAGACTGCAGGTTTGAAAGTCAGAAAGCCGGTTGGCTTGTTCAGCTTTGAGTTCTTGAGTCGCTGATAGATGACAGCTGAAGAACGTTCACATAGGATGGACAGTTCCAGTAAAACTGAGAGCCTATACTCGCATCTTTCTGTTTGGTGGTTACTATTTCTCTTCTGCTGCTGTTGCAGCATAGGCTTTTCTATGTACTGCTGCTGTTGCAGCAAATCTAAACTACAATCTCTGTCTTTATAAGATAAGTTATAACTATGTCCGTTCTAAAACTACTTCTCTGCTTTAGATCTCACTGGGTGCTGAAAAGGCTGAGCTGTTGGCTCATTCTTGTAGTTGTGCAGCAGGTAAAGGTTTTTGCAACCATGTAGTTGCACTTCTTTATCAGACTGCTCACTACTCCCAGCTCCAGCTACCAGCTGTTCCTCCTGCCCTGGCATGTACGAGTGATCTACAAAGATGGCACAGACCAAGAACACAGGTAAATAAATAACTTTTCTTAACTACTTTAAGAAGAATATAATTAAGCTATCTATCTATCTCTAATATATATATATATTTTTTCTATAAATGTCCTGTTAACAAAATCTATTTTTCTGTTTTTATTTCTTGTAAGGGGATCCACCCTGAACCTGCCAGCAAAGTCATAGTGCGAAAGCCCAAAACTGTGGGGAAACGATGTCTGCAGTCTACACTCTACAGAGCTTTCCCAGGTATAATTTATTGAGTGTCAATGTTTTCATAATCTGTCTGTAAATTATATATATATATATTATTTAATAAATATATATAATATATATATATATAAATAAATAAATCTGGAATGTTTCCTTTGTCATAAGTTATTGAGATTTGTCACTCATGTGTTTGTAGGACCACTTCCTGACCCCGACATCATCGCATCGGGAGAGAAATTACGCCAGCTGGAGTCCCCGCCACTCATAGCTCTTGTTTTAGAAGGTCTCTCAACTTTGAAGCTGGTTCCGTCCAAATTTGGGCCTGTGCCTCGAGGCTCACCGATGTCTTACCAGTGCCCACCTGAGTCCTGCGATGATGAAGTCCTGCGACGTCATCATTATACACCACACAGCTCCAGACTTCCCTGCTCTTCCTTTGATGTTTCACAGTCTTACAAACATGTGTTTTGTGCCTACTCTTGGTCAACTTAGGCATCTTCAGTCTCTGCAACTGTCACTGGATACGTCTTCAAAAATAGAGGCTGCAACCAGGGAGCAGTCCAGATGTCCTGCATGGGTACAGCTTCGCCAGCCAAGGCTTACAGCTAGCCGTTTCCGGGATGCTTGTAAACGAAGTGCTGAGGAGGAGTCTGTAGCCACAGCACATGCAGCTAGGATGATCAGGGGGTTCACAAAACAAACAGCTGCAATGAAGCGCGGTCTCGAGGTGCTGGCGAACTATGCTGAGCTGATGAGTGTTAATGTACTCCCTGTGGGATTTATCATTCACCCCGAGGCACCACATCTTGGGGCAAGTCCTGATGGCAGGGTGTATGACCCATCAGAATCACCCCCGTTTGGACTGGTAGAGGTTAAATGTAGTACCAAAAATGATGTGTCCCAGGTGGCTCACCTTAAGGTTCAGGATGGCTCTGCAAATGTGAGGCACTCACATGCGTACTACTGGCAAGTACAGGGTCAGCTGGCAATCACAGGGCTGGAATGGTGCGACTTTGTCACAGACACACTGACAACTATAACAGTTGAGCGAGTGTGACGGGATGAATCTTTCATTGACCAGATGAAGTCAAAATTGGACATGTTTTACTTTACCACCTTTATGAATGTGTTTATTTTGTTTTTGTTCATTCCCTTTTTTTGATCATTGTAAATATCTGTCCCAAAAATTGAATATATGCATAGCAAAACAAAACATGAAATTGGCCTAGTCTTAATGACCTGTGCCTGCAGCTGAAAGGAAGTTGATGAGGTATAAGTTTTCCAAAACTAGACTAATGTGCTTATTTTATTTCCTGTATGATTAATAAAAAAATATTTACAGCCTTGTTTTGTTACAAATGAAATGATTTGAGAATTACATATTTCATTTTCAACATAATCCACTATCACTTGCTATTTGTTTCACCTGTTTTCCCTTGCAATTCAACACAATCAAGTGTGTTTTAAAATGGGGAATAAACATCTCAAAAAATATGTACACTGAAACAGACACATAGAAGATTTAGATGAAACATTTATTCTTCCAAACAAAATGGGCCTTGATAATTAGCCAAAACAACAGTTGTGCCAGATCTGATTGACGGTTCCTATTAAAGTGAGTGGCACAGGAGAATCCCAGATGTGGTAGTGCTCGATTCTGGCTATTGCCTGTTCGACAATAATTCTCAGACGAGCAATGGCTTGGGTCTCCTCAGTCTCTCTCTTGCTAAACTGACCAGGATGTCGAAAAGGTGGCATTGTGAGTTTGGCCCCAACTTCATCAAGGAGGTCTTGAATGAGGAAGCCCTTATCTGCCATGACTTCATCTCCTGGCTCCAGCAGCGGAAGAATTCCACTGATTTTAGTGATCTCTTTGTCGGAGATGCAGCCAGTGTACAGCTGTGATATAAACGTCACCAACCCATTGGGAGCAACTCCGATCAGCCCTTTCAGAGTGGTGCGGTTCTTGTACGCAGAGAAGGTTTCAGACTGTAAAGTTAGTGATGATGCCCCCTCTAAAGCAACTTCTGTGCAGTCCAGGATGCCACGCACATTTGGAGAGCGCTTCACAAATCTTTGAGGCATGCTGGCTTTCACCTTCTCCCGACTAATCCACATGTTAATTGACGAGAACACAATGAAAAGGTAGTTGGCCTATGTGATGGTCACTCGGCTGACAGTAGAAATGCTCACTTTAAACATGTCAGCAATGAGCTGCTCCTTCATTCCCACTGCAACCCTGAATGAGTACATAAAAAACTCATCAATTAGAGGCATGCAGCGTGCAAGGCTTGGTTCAGCAACTTCTTTATCTCCAATTTTCTGAGCTCTGGTCCAGTACACTAGACGGGATGCAGATGGTGCAATGGACTCCCAGAAGATCCTGAACACACTCTTAGATGGGAATTTTGTGTAAAACCGGATCTGGTCATCAGAAAAGCAATAACTACTAAAAAGTGTGCTGGGAGACAAATCCATCTTCTCCAGCCTGGCTTCCAACTCCTTGATCGTCTCAAGGGCTTTATCAAGCGCACCTGTAAAACCAGAAAAAAGTGCTATAAATACCTTAAAAAGGTCTAACCATAATGTAATATATATATACAATTACACAGACAGTCCTAAATATTGTATTTTATTTACACTGCTTTAATTTTGTTCCACAAACATGTTATGACACTGAGCATTTATTGTTTCATAGTTATAATATTGACTCAAATATGCTAGAATAAAATTTTTACATAACTGATATAATTAGATATTTACCTGGGGGTGGATGTGCCGCATAATCATGTTCGGCAGTGGCAGCTTCAGCCTGGCTAACTTGCTCTGAAAGGACAAGCTGATGTTTCTGAGCCTTCTGGAATGCTGACTCCCTCTTAGGTGGTGCAATAAAATTATTCCAGGGGAATAGAGATGGAACAGCTCCACTTTTAAGGCGGCTGATGGCCGATCCAGTGTGATAATCCTCCGGTGTGAAGTGCCGGCTGCATACAAAAGTGCTCCCTGTCTTTATGGTGAACAGGGGACCCTCGTCTCTCCTAACTGCTTGGATCCACTGCCTTCTACGGTCCGGGTCCGTCGGAAAAGCATGAAAAGGTAAATAGGGTTGTTTTCTTGCTCCACAAGAGCAACCAGGAACAGAGCAAAAACTAGCGCGGAGAGATTGAGCCATACTGACGCTGTCTCTGAAAGGTAAAGCATAGGCACCGGAAGTGGTTTTACTCCACATCCGGTTTAAAACACGGAAGTGTGAAAAAGGTCTATTGCCTGAGATACAGTTTAGAGCTGAATTTTGTGTCCCTGTTACATCCAAACAGAGTAGTGTTTTTCATCCTTAGACGCTAGGTCAAAATAAGACAAATTAACCAGTTATCTTTTTAAGAGTTTTTTCTGATCATCCAAAGCCACTACTTCATAAATATATAGAAAATATTATGATAGGCAACAGTTTCAAATCTGAACCATATGTAACACATTGGTACAGTTTAGTTTGGTGTGAGCCATATATAACATTTCTCTGCACTTTCACATACCTGCGCAGAAAACAGCCGTGAGCCGTGTCTTCATGGTTCTGTGTCCATGGTTCTGTCTTCATGGTTCTGTCTTCATGGTTCTGTCTTCATGGTTCTGTGTCTTCATGGTTCTGTGTCTTCATGGTTCTGTGTCTTCATGGTTCTGTCTCCATGGTTCTGTCTCCATGGTTCTGTCTCCATGGTTCTGTCTTCATGGTTCTGTCTTCATGGTTCTGTCTCCTTAAAGCCTCTGGGACAGTGACGGTTAGCCGGAAGCTAAGCTAGAATGAAAAACACGGTTAAATATTTATACTTGGGCTAAACTTTTCCAAAAATATGTCTAAATTCAAACATACAACCTGTGACACACCGGTTAATGATCAGTTTAGCATTAGAATGGATACACGTGACAGAATGACCGTTTGTGTCCACAGTCACGGCCGTTTCCCTGTGGATGGATGGACGATGCTAACCCGCTGTTAGCTGTTAGCTCCTCTAACTCAGTGACCGTTTGTGTCACACTCAGCATTTTGGGCTTAAAAATACGTAGTTTAGCGCTCTCTACGATCCTAGTGTTTATATTTTGTTATTGTCTTTGTAAATACAGACATGAGCCAAAAGGATGGTGTGGTGTATTCACCCCCCTGGACCTGTCAGACTTGGTACGGTCCACTCTTACCTTGTTCAGTGCGCTTGTGTAAATACAGTCTATGGTAAATACGCTGTTAAGTAAAGATGGCGCTGTTTAAGTTTGCCTAAACGGTACTTGGTCTCCAAGTCTAATATATTACAGATGGACCATTCAGACGCCTTCATTCGCGGGGAAACTCACCAAGACGGTTGCCATGTTTGCCTTAGCAACCCGCCTTAGCAACGCCTCAGTCCCTGTTATGGCGGAACATTACACCTACTAATGTCTAAACAAATTAGTCCTTTATTTTAATAACTATGGATCCTGCGCCTGCACATAAGTGTAAATAAAAATAATAAATATAAGGAAATTGACTCCTGCTAGCTCATATTCAAATCGGCTTCTCGCTTCTTCAGACCGATAATATAATAGTTTATAATATCATTCAGGTTTACAGCAGCAGAGACACATCTAAAGAAAAGTGAATACTTTTTTTGTTTTAAAGTTTAAAACAAATTAATAACCCTTTTTATAATAAAATGCAACAGAAGTTTATCGCAGCAGCAGATGTGACGTAGCGCCAATCACACATCCATAATGATGATGTCACACTCTGTATTAAAGCTGCACTAACTGACTTTATTTTTGTATTCATTACGAAAATGCAATCCATATCCATGCAGTGCATTGGAATATACGTCCTTTTGAAGAATAAGTAGCGCAGATTTGTGCTGGTGTGACATTATATTTTAGATCGAGTTTTGGTGAAACAAGGAAGAGAAAGTGTTTTGGGTCTCAGATTGTGACCAATCACAGCGGACCACTGGCCCCCACTTTCGTGAGAAAAGCCACAGGTCTCTGGTTAGCACCGACAGCTGAGTTAGCACAACAAGCGGCAGAGGCTAACTGAGCTGCGGGAACCGCTCATTACACAACACGGTGAGCGCGTAGCCGCAACGTGACCATGTACCGAAGACCATAAACGTGCACAGGACCATGCGTGTCTTTGCGTAATCTGTGCACCCAATAAATACACCGCTGCAGAAAACAGTCTGCGTCTCCCCTCTCCTCTCGAAGCGCGATTAAACGCCCTAAATTAAAGCTCGGTTACCTAAATTTTCCATTGCATTAAAAGTTCATGTTTGTGCCCAAAAGTAAAATGTTGTGAACAAATTAAACTGATTTAGTGACAGGCAATGTCTGACAAGATGCATTTCAGACTTTTTTGACCAATTCTCATCCCTGTAACAATATAGTTTTGGTCTGTGTCACCTCCCTCACTCTGACACATGTTTATTACTCTCTTTAATGTAGACTATTGCACTTTGTTTTATTGTTGAAATTACATACATCCTGATCCTCTACAGTATTTTCTTCCACATACAGTATAAACCAGGGGTCGGCGACCTGCGCATGCAGCTCTTCAGTGCTCTTCCAGTGGCTCCTGGAGCCTTTTAAAAAATGTCTGAAAATGGAGTGGGAGGGCTATTTTTTATTTCTAGTTAGAATGTGGTTTCTGTGGAAGGAAAACTTTGTTAACGTTTTTAAAGGCTGTAAAAGTGTGCGGAAGTAATATTAAATTTCAAAATTTTTGTCAACGTAGTGGGTCATATCCTGTGACGCTGCAGCTGTTGTAAACAAACCGGCGTGTGCGCATGGATCCCAAAGCTAAAATTCAGAGCACCTATTTTCAGACTTCAAAAACCTCCGCAAAGACGGTGAAAGAAAAGGCCATTAAGGACAAAAATTCAGCTATGGCAAACTTCAGCCTGTGATGTGATGGATATGAGCAGACAGTGCTGTGATGCAGGTATGTGAACTCTGAGCCAAAAAGCAGTTCACCTTGGAGAGACCAACAAGGGAAAATGCAGTTAGAAGTTTATTAGATTGAGCATGTTTGGCGCCCTAGGCCCGGGAGAGATGCTGTTGAGCGCTGCGCTTGCTCGCGCGAATAATCCCCCCCGGGGCCTAGGCACTGGTGGCGGCAGAGGCAGTAGGCAAGCACGCTTCGATGAGAAAAGGAGGAGGTGGGGCGGCGGAGGCTTTGCAAACTTCAGAAGGCCGGGAAAGTGGGCGTCTCCGGCTTTTAACTTGCTGTCCTGGTGGTTATTGGTTGATTGGATGTGGGCGTTGCTGGTATGATGAGCCGAGGATGAGCAGGCTTGTAGATCTGGGCAGCAGCGGCCGGGTCTACCACAGTGAACTTTCGCGAAAGCTCCATATTTGTTTAATTGCATGAAGGGAAAAAAATGGAAGTTAAACTTAAAGCAAAGTTGTCATGTGGTGCATAATTAAAAATACACATTTGATAATCATGAATGCTTATAATGTATTTGTAGCCTTTACTTTGTCATTGACTGGCATTGACGTATTTGTCTGAGACTTGTGACTTCCCTCTATTCGACTGGGGATTACAGGAGAACCAAACTAGCAAGAAACCATCATATTTTTGCTGATGAAAGTTGACAATCCAGTCTTTCAGAATCTGGTTTCATATTTCACATAGTCTAATACCTAGAGTACATCGGACTGGCAACTGATTATATCCGTCGCCTTTGAGTTGCTGCCCCACACACATCGAGAATCGGGTGAAAACGGGGAACTCCTGTATCAGGCCAGTCTGGGGAATAACAGGCGACTCCTGTATCAGACCAGTCTGGGGAATAACAGGCGACTCCTGTATCAGACCAGTCTGGGGAATAACAGGCGACTCCTGTATCAGACCAGTCTGGGGAATAACAGGCAACTCCTGTATCAGACCAGTCTGAGGAATAACAGGCGACTCCTGTATCAGACCAGTCTGAGGAATAACAGGCGACTCCTGTATCAGACCAGTCTGGGGAATAACAGGCGACTCCTGTATCAGACCAGTCTGGGGAATAACAGGTAACTCCTGTATCAGACCAGTCTGGGGAATAACAGGTAACTCCTGTATCAGACCA